CTCCAATTAGTTGGCTGGTGCTTAAGCGCTGTAGTTGTCTTCGAAACTTCAGAAGCCCATCACCTGCCCTCTTATTCACCGTGTCTGGTTCTTCATACTACGCATCTTCTGGCAGGCTCCACTGTTTAGTTTCTTAGGAGGGATCGGAAAGTTAGCAGCTGTGAACATGTCTCGAGGCGGAGGGCTTCAGTGCTTCTTAGAGATAAGTACAGATGATCCTGTCTCGCAATATGAAAGACCATCAGGTCTTCACACAACACGTTTGACATACCCATAATTTTTCTGTTGAGAACAGCAAAGGTTTACAAAAGGACATTACTTATGACTCAACTAATAGTTTCTCAGCCCTTGCTGGCGACCGACTACCAGTTAAGCGCGCTCGTGACCTTTTAAAAAGCATTTTCTAACACTCCTTTTGCTTCGCACTCGACTTTCTTGGTTTTCTTTTGCTTGTGGAAAATATTCTTATCTACTTCAACATCAAGCTTTTTGCAGCATACTTCCGTGGAGATCAAGCGTATGCTGATAAATATTTCGATAAACTTCAGGGTCTGCTTGTTAACGATGAAGATGGTACCCTTTATTCATCCTTTGGCATTTTTTGATAAAATCACTCAAATTTCTGAATTCTATAGTGACTGGTGGGATGCTGGTTCCTGAATGTTATTGCGTGGACGAGTGCTACATGGAACGCGAACGTGCCGTACCGAATTCGACCGATCTTTATCCGGTAAATCCTCGGGAATTCGGACATCATTTATGGAGCAACGCCGTGTATATAATCCTGCTTCTCGTCCGTATGTCTTCTTAATTTCCTTCAAGTGCATAGTTTTGTTCAATTTGTTTCAATTCCAGGTGAAGGTTTGATTCATAAATCGGACTTAGATCCTATTAATAGACATCTGCCTGCTTCCCAGCGCCCAATGCAGTTCAAGCGGCACTCGGAATTTCAAGTTAGCTGTCCTCTTTTTTTCTACCTATAAGTTCTTGACCAGAAATATTTTCAGGGTAGCATGGAAGGCGACCCTGTTGTCCAAATTGCCTTATTAGCAGAGTCGACTCATCTCCAGATGACGCTCTCCACATACGGTATTAGCTGCCAGACTCCTCATGAAGTGGAGCCTATTCAGATCTGGCCCAGCTGGAGAATGGTTAAGGTGATTTTTACCGTTTCTTTATCAGCCGCATCCAGTTAACAAGAAGTTTCTTGAGCTTCACTATTTGATAATATTTCTTAGAATCATATTGAAGCGTACCTCTTGCAAGTTTTTTTTTGCTGATGGTTTCAGGTGTTGAGTCCCTCTTCAGATCTACAAAATACAAATGTACCTGTTTTTTTTTTGAACGTTCCTATTATACAAGCGTGAAAAATCGAACTTGTATTAAAAGCTGATCAATTATTAGGAAGACTGGGGTAGCGGAGCTGGTTGGTCTCGATTTTCTGTAGCTTATTGGAAGTAAGGGTAGAGGTGGTGAGTGGACCAGGGCTAAAGAAGAAACCATGTGAAGGTCCGGAGTCCAAGAAGAAGGACCCCTTTTTACCCCTTACTTTCCGCATTATGCGCCCTTCAGCGCTAACGCTCCCTTTGCTGTCTAATCACTCGCCGCGTATAGACCTGCGGCGAGTGAATAGATAGTCAGTGGGCGTTCTAGGCCGGGCCAATTGCGCTGATGGGAATGACCGTGCTAGATCGCGCGGCATATCCTTTGATGCGATTTGCGCATTGGTCCGCACTGTTCAGGGGTCCGCCTGTCTTTTGGGTGAGTTTCTCATACTTCGACCCTCATTCTTATCGCGGCATCCTCA